ATAAGGTCTCCCCTGAGCCTCCTCCAGGCTAAACACCCCCAGCTCCCTCAGCCGCTCCTCACAGGACTTGTGCTCCAGACCCTTCCCCAGCCCCGACGCCCTTCTCTGGACATGCTCCAGTACCTCAGTGTCTTTCTTGTAATTAGGGGCCCAAAACTGAACACAGGATTCGAGGTGTGGCCTCACCAGTGCTGAGTACAGGTGGATGATCGCTTCCCCAGTCTCACTGGTCACACTTATTTCTGATGCAGGCCAGAATGCTTTTGGCCTTCTTGGCCACCTCTGCACACTGCCCCCTCATGTTCAGCCGGTTATAGACCAACATCCTCATGTCCTTTTCCCCTGGGCAGCTTTCCACCCACTCATCCCCAAGCCTGTAGCGTTGCAGGGGGTTGGTGTGACCCAAGTGCAGGACCTGGCACTTGGTCTTTAAAATCTAGTCTTATATTTTAAAGCATTTAATAAGCAAATTACCCTTACAGGTGGTTCGCATTTAAGTCGTACAATGCAGGGGTGAAATATTTTGATTCTAAAGAGGTTAAATACATGAAGTGAATAGACATTAAAAATGACTAAGCAAGGGAAAATACAGTTGTATTCCTGTCCTACTCACCAGCCATGTTTGCAGCCTGTGTCAGGATGTCATCCTGCGCACTGCGGGTTCTGTTGTCTTCTTTGATGAATTCCACATATGGTACTGCATCACTCAGAGTGGTAGGAGTGAGTAAAATATCAACACCACTCTCAAAAACCTTCACAAAGTCATTGGCAATGAGACGTCTGACTTTCTGTGCCTTGATAAAGTAATTCTCATAGTTCCTAGAAAGAAATATGGACATGAGGGCCTGACAATTTAATTCCAAAAATACAGAACTTAATTTCTTAGTTGTTGTAGAAAAGCCCAGTACTCTTTTGGTTACACTGGTACTTGTGTTTTTGATATATCAGAAGCTTGGTCATCAAATATGGTGTTTGTGCTCTCGTAGCAATGAAGCTGTCAGAGAAGGAAAAGATGAGGGCATACTGCTGAAGAAAGGTGAAGGGAAAACAAACCCCTAGTTTACAATAATTAACTAAAAATCAAAACAACTCTTTTATGACCACTCTGAAACTAAACTGTGCATTGAATTTCACCGCAGGGCAGCACAGCAAAGCCTAGAAACAATACAAAACTAAGCAGACCTGGAAAATAGGCATTAATCATTTAGGATTCAATCCAGCAAGATACCTAAAGCTTTTGAAAAACTTCCATCACCTACGGAGGACTCCAAATGGACTTAGAACTATGTATATGTTCGTAGTATACTTCTCTGTAGAATACTATAAAGAACTTATCTTCCCATAACCCTTTTTTTTCCTCATGTAAACATGTGGTCTGTGCTTTTCTAAACAGTCTTTACACAATTCTGAAGCAGTAACAAATTAGTCAGCTTTATGCCTCCTGTTCCTTTTAACTTCATATGCAGAACTGGTAAATGTGGAATCCTTAAATTCAGAGAAGTTCAGTTTCAAAAGTAATTGCCACCTAAAACCACAGCTACTAAAAAAAAAGATAAAAGGAGGGGGTATTAACAACTGCAATAGGTCAGAGCGTTGTAGGTAAACACAGTGTTTCTGCACTTGCAACCCAGAAAGCAAACCGTAGCCTAGGCTGCATCAAAAGAATCATAGAAGCTTTTAAGTTAGAAAAGACCTTTAAGATCATCAAGTCCAACCATTAACCTAACACTGCCAAGTCCACCACCCAACCACGTCCCTAAGCACCACAGCTACAGTCTCTCAAATGCCCCCAGAGATGGTGACTCAGCCACCTTCCTGGGCAGTGACAACCCTCTCAGTGAATTTCTCCTAACATCCAGTCTGAACCTCCCCTGGCACAACTTGAGGCCACTTCCTCTTGTCCTGTCACTTGGGAGAAGAGACCCACACCCACCTCTCTGCAACCTCCTTTCAAACAGAGAGCGATAAGGTCTCCCCTGAGCCTCCTCTTCTCCAGGCTAAACAACTCCAGTTCCCTCAGCCACTCCTCACAGGACTTGTGCTCCAGACCCTTCCCCAGCTCTGCTGCCCTTCTCTGGACACGCTCCAGCACCCCAATGTCTTTCCTGCAGTGAGGGGCCCAAAACCGAACACAGGGTTTGAGATGTGTCATCACCAGCACTGAGTACAGCAGGACAACCGTTTCCCTAGTCCTGCTGGCCACACTATTCCCAGTGAGTGCAGGCCAGGATGCCATTGGCCTTCTCGGCCGCCTGAGCACACTGCCCGCTCATGTTCAGCCAGCTGTCCACCAACACCCCAAGGTCCTTTTCCCCTGGGCCGCTTTCCCCCCACTCATCCCCAAGCCTGTAGCGTTGCAGGGGGTTGGTGTGACCCAAGTGCAGGACCTGGCACTTGGCCTTCTTGAAACTCACACAGCTGGCCTTGATCCATCAATCCACCCTGTCCAGATCCCTCTGCAGAGCCTTCCTACCCTCAGGCAGATCAACACTCCCACCCAACGTGGTGTCACCTGCAAACTTTCTGAGGGTGCACTCGATCCCCTCATCCAGATCATGGATAAAGATATTAAACAGAACTTCCTAAACAATAACCTAATTATTTCACAGATTTCAAGAGCAAGGTAAAATAATGTGTAAAATGCAACATTTGCAGGAGACACAGACAGTTTTTCTATTTATTATAAGAATGCTTTCTGAACCCTGGGGTCTGTTCTTCAAATGTAATCTATTGTGGACAGAAATAGGACTCTCCTGTTCAATCTTGATGGAAGCCAATTGTATATTCCTTCACAGAACAGTGAACTACATGAATTTTAAAGCAGCCTTAGGAAAGTTGATCTTGACAATTGTAACCAGAAGGAGCACACTTGGCAAGAATACCAGCATTCCATAAAAGCTGGTTGTTACATACTGACTGACAACATTCCTGTCTCAGAGAGCAACTAGAAGTCACGTCTGACGAATACTCTCGCTGACAGAGCTCTTTCTGTAGTGCTCTTGGCTTTCAGACTGATTACACGACTAATATTTCTGTTAGCATCTGAACAAATTAAGATGGAGAAAACCAGCTCTTTTACTAACACACATTAGGACTGTTGGATATGGATTGAAAACTAAGAAAAAAAAAAGTCAAACTGATCCATACACCAGCTTCTCTACATGAGCTGGACAAAAACCTGTCTTCTGTAAAGACATCAGTTCAGTCCCTTTGCCAGGGTGCTCCTTTCCCTGTATACTGAAGCAAAGAGCTATAGTTAATTTAATTGTTGTAGCTTCTGGATTTCCCTAGATGACCTCACTAGAATGTACCAGCAGTTTTAATGAGATTAACAGCTACAGAACTTTTAACACAACAACAGTAATGGCTTCAGTGTGATTTCAATGTCACACCTTGGACAGATTTTAACTTAACATATGGGTGCCAGTAATACTATGGTGGAGGGGAAAAAAAAATCGCAACGTTGTTTTACTTATTTCATTCAGGAGGCTCATTGGTAAGACTAAGGGAAAACATTTTCATTCATTATTAACAGTTCACTAGGTATTATATAGTTAAAGCAATAATAATAATACAAGTAGCTACTAGTGTAAGGATATCTTTTTTCATGTCACAATGAATAATTAATCCCCATTTGCTTAAAAAATTATTAACTTGGCAAATTTGAGTTTCAAGATGCACTGCTTACTGTTTCAACAAGAAATAGTTTCCTGATAGAATTCTTCCTCTTACAACATCATTAAAGCCTTCTCGTCGTGTTGCAGCATACATACTTTCTGTGGACTTGTTCATGTCAGAACGGTGTCCTGAAAAGACAAAGCAGTTTGGAAATTAATACTTTTTGTAATCCTTCAGATTTCACAACATAAGGTAACGTTATACAATAGGCCACTGTTCGCTGCCATCCAACATGCTACTATTCTGGAAAAACAACAGAGTATATTCCTGTTTTGTTCTAGAAATATGAAACAGATTTTAAGCCCAGACACTCAGGTGTCTAGAAGTGAAATGTATTAAAATATGTATTTATTTACTCATTTTCATTTGGACAGGGTATTTACTCTAGTCTATCTTGGAGAAATAACACCAAACATTCATCCATGAAAAGCATATCTATTAAAACTATTATTTTTAAACGGCATCCAGCAACATTTCTATTGTCTGAGAAAAAAGTTTTTTCAAAGGCCTTACCGTATTCCAGTCCATCAAACCTGGCCATATTTGATGCCACTTCTGCTGTGCACAGCACATGATAGCAGACAATTGAGTAATGAGTGTGTGGTAGACTCACTTCAATTACTTTAGCACCTGCATCCTTAAAGAGGTCAGCAGCCTTTGACCAGAGAGCCAGAACTTCACTAGAAAGCCCTGGCGCATGATATTCCTTGGAGAAAAACAAAAAGGGGAGTGATTTTACCACCAGTTCACTTCCAATGGCAATCAAAATGCAAATACTCCTTGCTAAAAATACATTGAAACTATTGCTCACCACTATATGATTTAAAGTACATATTAAAGCTTTTTGCATCTACTAAATGTTATACAATCAACAATATTAAATTAAGAAGATTCAGTCTTCTTAAGAATATTATGTTCATCTCAGTAAGATCAACCCACATATCACAGACCACGGAATTTCAGCAGTTTCTTCTGAAGGAGAAATTGCCCAATCATCCACTTATTTGTCTGTTCCTGGAGGCTATCCTGCACTACGCTGCAGTTTGTGGGTAGAAACTCTTCAGGTTTAAATCCTAACACTAGGGCTGCTGTGAGTAGGAAAGAGAAAAAGAAATGGTGGCCGTAGCACACCAGTGGCAACTGGCATGCCTCAGTGAAACAAGCAACAACCCACCAAAGAAGAGCTACAATCAAGGGGTCGGGAGAAGACTCAGATAAGCTGTGTTCCTGTTTAAGATCTAAGTCACAGATATTCTATTAGAACTCTCTATTTTTGAACATACTTGCCTTAGTTCTAACGCACAGTATCAGGGTTATAGTACTGTCTGATTTCTGAGTAGCTGTGACCCATGTTTAATATATGCATGTATCTGTTTAGGATAATCTGTAGCAGTAGAAAACAACTGTCCAAAAAACATGAATAACTAACCAATACCACTATTTTAGATTTATCAAAATCTAAACAGTATGCAGCTAATTCATTTTCTAGGCATAGAATTTCTGCATTTCACAGATCCTGAATAACTGGTCAGTGGACATCTCCGTTTAGCAAATTAAATCTTTTGCTGTACCTGTTCTAGCACAGGTTCAAACACTGACAATCCAACCAATACATGTTATTCACACTGTCTCTTTGAAGGCAGAGCCTTTACTAAATTAAAAATAGGCTGAAGTCCCAAATGTCGTGGCTAAATTGCAGGTATAGGTACAAATATGACTGAACTGCATACACAGAAGCCAGATTACAGTTGTCTTTCAACCCCTATTGGAGTTGTGCGAATCAAAGCTCCCTGTGCCACTCAATTGCCTTTAACATTCTGCTTCACGTTAACACAGTGACATTTAGGAAAAGTATCTTAAAGCACTGCACAAAGCAGTACCAACCTCGCTGTATGAGAATCATAGAATCACAGAATGGTTTGGGTTGGAAGGGATCATAAAGACCATCCAGTTCCAACCCTCCTGCCATGGGCAGGGACACCTTCCACTAGACCAGATTGCTCAAAGCCTCATCCAGCCTGGCCTTGAACACTTCCAGGGATGGGGCATCCACAGCTTCTCTGGGTAACCTGTTCCAGTGCTTCACCACCCTCTCCAGGAAGAACTTCTTCCTGATATCTAAAGTTAGAAGGCACTAAGAGCAACTTGTTTGAGGTTATACAGGTGACTGATGAAAGAGCAACAGAGGGAACCAAGAACTTAAGTTCCCTGTTTCCCTTGGAACTTCCTGACAGTGCTTTCCACAATGTCAAAATGTTTGAGATGAAGCATTAGCATATGCTCACTCCAAATCGCCTGCACAAGCAACAGAGCACACACTGCTCTTTTCCATGAGCTGCTCGTACTGTCTTCACTGTTTCAAATCATGAGACACTGGGAGATGGTGGGCTAGATACAAATGGCTTTTTGTTAGGTGTCCTATTTGCTGCTCCTGCCTACAGCTGTTGACAGGATTTAAATGTTACCTTTGGAATTCCTATAGAGAGTTTGCTGACATCAGTCAAATTGGGTAGTTCAAATGGCTTGAATTTGTCCTGAATTGTGGTAGAGTCTTTGGGATCGTGTCCAGCAAGTGAACCTGAAATACGACATGACATATGAAGAACAGGAAAATGTACACTGGGTAGCCTGGATTCAATTTGTCTTGAGACAATGTTGTAAACAAAGACACACGTAGTAGTAATACCTAACACAACTGCTGCGTCATCCACACATCTGGTTAAGATTCCTGGCACATCCATGGAGTTCACTAGAGGAATGAGACCATGGCGAGAGATCAGTCCATAAGTTGGCTTTAAACCTACTACACCACAGTGAGCAGCAGGGTTTCGGGTTGATCCTCCTGTGTCTGACCCTAAGGCTCTATGGTTTCAAAAGGATTATCATTAGTAAAATAACTCAGAACATTTCCAAATAATACAAATGTATGGCTTTAAGATGCATGGATTTTAAAAATGTGCATATTCTTCCAGATTACAAGTCATAATCACACAGCCTCAGCTTCAGTCTGCTCCCTGTGTCTGCCATTTTTTATCTGTTCTCTTAATTTAATTAGGCTCTCTGAATTAGCCATCAGGGGAGCCCAATTCTTGTCACAAAGCAGAGGTAGATAGGTAGAATTCAGGCCATCCGAATATGCCCCAAAGTATCCACTTCTGCTTTCTCTGTTGGTCTGTTCCAGCACTGTGTTCTCCAAAAGACATGCCTCGTGATTTAGTGTATGATTTCAGGACACTGACATTTATTCAGTAGCCATTACACTATGAAGCAGCATCTTCCAGTGTACAAATAAACAGCGACACAGTACAATTCTTGACCCCAGTAAGAGAGTACCTTTTCAAAGTTTAGGATGTTTTTCTCATTTCCAAACCTACAAAGCATAGAATCAGAACTCCCAGCATGCAGCGGCTTAGGTGGGATTTTTGGACACTTTTTTTTTTAAAATTTTAAGTTTACTTTTATTTTGTTCTTTCTAAGCTAAAATTTTTATTTAAAAAACTGTAATGAAATTGGAAATTCATATTGTAATGAAACCTCCTCTTCTCTTGTTTTTAATAATTTTAACACAAGCACCATTTAAAAGAAAAAACAGCTTTTCATTCAAAACTCTGCCAAAAATTAATTAAACTTCGGAAGGAGGTATAATTTTTACTGAAGTGGGTATGTGACTCTTCCCATAGACATCTGTTTCCGAGATGGCTGAACCAATTCAATTGACTTTGCTGAAGTGGATCTTTTTCAAAGCTTTTGTGTTGATACAAAACATCCTCAATTTTGTAGCATTTCTGTACATTCAAATCTCAAATTGAAAAGAGAAAAGCTGGCAGCATTCCAGATGCTTGAAAGAAACTAACAGAGTGGATACGCAAGAGGTTATAGGCAATAAAATATCTGGATGAAAAATCCCCCTGATCTAACAAAGTGCTGAGCAGTGCAAAATGGGAGTTCAGCATGCCCAGCAACAGAAGAGAAGGTGCCAGACCCTATCAGGATCAGCCCATTCTGGCTCAGGACAAGGACCAGCAGTCCTTGGGAATGACTACACCGATTTCAGTATCAACAGTATTAAAATGTTGAGTAGACTACATCCTAACAAAGGGCAATGAGATGAAGGGAGGTATTGTTAAAAGAAATCATGAAATAAATTGGGTTTTGTACATAATAACCATATTTTTAAAAGAAAGCTATCAACATTAGCAAAAAGTATTTTAACAATAAAAGAGGCTTATGATATAGTCTATGGGTAAACAAGGAGACAGTAACTAAAGAGTATTCTTAAACACCCTGCAGTTAAGAGCACAACTGAAATCATCTTGTATAAATTGTGCTTCACTAGGTAGCTCTAAGGACTGCAGAAAATGAAAGGTGTCAAGTTTTAAGGACCAGTTGGATGGAGAAGATAGTACAGACAACTGATTTGTTAAATAGTGCGTTGCTATCCCATGCAGATTATTGCCAAAAAAATCCACTTGTTTAAAATCCTATAAAAAAATCAACCCCAAAACCCAAAAAACTAAAACTGTCTTCTAACTTTTTAAAACAGTTAGGTTTGTAAGTGTCTGTGCCGTAAGTATCTATGCATCTTTTTGTTAAACCAAGTATTAGAAAGCTTTTAGATTCCCAAATCTCATGTATTATTAAGTCTGCCATAAAAGCAAAGGAGGGGAAGAAAGATTAGTATACTGTTACAAATTAAGGGATCTCCTCATTTGCTGAATTACTTTTACAGTGTGTACTTCTGTTTTGCACTTACTCTGGAAGAAGATGTGTCACAAACCACACGTTACTTTGAAGAGACGAGATGGGAATAACAATAAAACTGTCGTTCCTTTACTGCTTTTACCATTTATTACATGCAGTGCAAAGCGCTCGCATCAGTACGCCGAGTAACACTGGGAATGAGTAAGTCTGTATTTGACCACATGGATTCATTCTGGCTTCACGATGCGACACACAAATAAACTAGGGGTGCTGAAATAAATCCTTGCCTGCCGCTGCAAACAACCCTCCCATTTCAAACTAGATTATGAGAAAAATACAAAATTCAAACCTTCCAACGTATATTGAGACATGGAATAAAAATCAGTTTGAAGAAGCTCCTTACGCAAAACATGTGAAAGATGACACAGCGGCCGCACTGCCTCCTGAGCTCCCTCCCGTTATTACCCAGTTAGACTCCTCGTCCTCAGAAGGGGATTTTGGGAGAGATTTTTCCTTGTACTGTCTTGAGTAACTCCAGGGATTTCTGACTGGTCCAAATACCCCATCTGTACTCCCAGATCTAAGAGAGTCAGAGAGGACAAAATACAGACAGAAGCGACAGATGACACACTGTATTCATCACGGTTTTTTTCTTTACCCTATTCCTCATCCTTCATCCTAGCAAATTCATTTTCAACACAAAAAGACTGGTGTACATAAATCCTTGTGCAGTCAAATTCAACAATGTTACACAGAACTGTAAAGTTTATAGGTCTTCATCCAGTTCTGACACAGAATCTGAACTCTTATCTAACTTCTGCTAATGCCACTGAAAAGAATGTAATCACAAAAATTGTTCTGACACAGAATCTGAACTCATCTCTTTCTAACTTCTGCTAATGCTACTGAAAAGAATGTAATCACAAAAATATAAAACTCATTTAAGCTATGTAACAGTAAAGCTGCATGTCTGCTTCAAAAAAAAGGTCTTCTGGTTTCCTAACTGTGCATTTGGAAAAGGCAAAAGAAGATGACCAGACTCTTGTGGAAAACCATGGTGCTAGAGGTGGGGGGAAAGCCCTGCAATAGCAGGAACAGGCGCTTCTCTAAATAACACACTATTACTCACTCTGTAGCCCTCCTCCTGAGGCCACAGCTCGCTGGTACAGAGCGCTGGACTGCCTTCTCAGAAACATGTGTCAGTCAGTCTGTGGTCACCTAAGTGTGAGCTGCCAGCAGAAGCAGGGGCAGGGGGTACTTTCCTCCTTCCTCACAACCTGTACCCTGTGACTCCGGGGTGCCAGTGTCATTACCCAAATCATCAGTGGGCAGTTGACACAGCAGTTGAAAGCCAACCTTATTAAGACATGATGACTTTTGAGCTGGATCAGCTCCCTGATCAAGGTCATGGTGCAGCCGTGTTGCTGCCATGCCAACACACAGACCAGAGATGACAGGCCAGGGCGTGGGGACAGGCCTTTTTGAGAGAATCCTGTGCTTTAGTGAGCTTAAGCCAGTTATAACACTGCATAATCAGGGGTTTTTTTTTTCTGTGCTTTTCCCCTGTTCTTCCTCTGAAGAGTGTCTCTGACACAGAAAGGATTTTATCCAAAACAATCCAGTCAAAATATTTCCACTCCATCCATGTGAATTCCTAATCCAACCTCTATTTGGTTTAGGTAAAATAAAAAAAAAAAGCCAAAACACAACAGTTATTGCTTCTCATAGGTAACTAAAGTCCCAGATATTCCTATCCAGGCACAGCAGTTTTGACAGCGACTCCCATTCATAATGGCCCAATGCTGTTCCCGGCTATAGTTTGGCTGCCTTCACTGATTTGCTGGAGAATCAACCTGTGAGAGCATTTTCCGACATGCTCCTGACAAAAAGTCACCAACATTAGCTGAGGTGATCTGAACTGTTGCTCTAGATTAGCCTGTTTGCAGCAAATCAGGGAGTATCATACAAATTACTCCAGTGGTCGAGTGGCAGAGGCAGTGACCGCCATCGGGGGCATGATAATAATTAGCTAAGGGCAAAAACCACCAGTAAGGTGAGAGAAAAAGGCAGCAATTAACTGGTGGTGTAACCAATTCTAAAAACACACAACTGAATCTGGAAGAAGTCTGCTTTCCTTGGCCTTCTGCAAAGGCTTCCTCCCCCTCAAACACAGCTATAGTCAAACACTATGTTCACAAACCTCAGCATGTATATAATTTACACAACGGTATTAGTGAGAGATTCACCCAACTCTATAAACTCTTTGTGGGTAAGTAACCCTTATTTTCTAATCTCATAGAACAAGGAGTTAAGGATTACAGGTAGATCAGAACAGATGGCACGTATTCTATTTCATGTGCAATCACACATTAAAAATAATAAACATTACTCACCCCATTGCAAATTCATCTAGGTTTGTTTTTCCTAAAAGCACAGCTCCCTGATCCAGTAATTTCTGAACTACTGTAGCATTGTAAGGAGAAATATAACCTGAAAACAATCAGAACAATTAAGAGAGTGATTGGTGAGATACAGCTGATTTTTAGAACTAGCTACTCTGAAGACTCAAAGTCGTCATTACTTGGGCGTAAGAACCGTCAGTTCACGGTGCTAAGGTTTTGTTTCAAAGTTACATGAGCAAAAATCAGCAAAAGTAAACCAAATGTTGTCTTGTTTGCAATCTTTGTTCTCCCTCCACAATTTACAACCTAGTAATTCTGGATTATACCTTTCTAGAGTCTGGAGCTAAGACTTCACATTAACAGGTTACCGCAAGGGTTGCAGATTACTGCATTCAGCCAGTTCGCAGGAACTGTCTAAAATTAGAAGAAATGTGAAACAGCTCTTTACAGAAAAGTGCTAAGCTCTCTTGAATTATCTCCCATTACCATGACATAAAGGGGCATATGGTTAACCACAAGCTGAAATACTAACTTGGCTACCCTGTGATCAAACGTGTGCACCCTTGACCACTCAGACCGTACCTAGGACAAGAACCTTGACACTTAAGGGAGATCCTAGGTAGCAACCAATTCCTTTTGGGAATACTGACGGCAGTTTCTCCACCCCCAGCCTCAACAGGAACAAGAAGGACAACATCACTCCTAATACTCTCAGCCATGACATTGCAATCAATCGCAATGGGTCTGAGAATGTGCCTTAAGGAAAAGCATCTCAGGGAATATAACACTTTTTAAAATGGCAAAGTCATATTTTGTTTCTTCTGCTATTAAAAAAAAGAAACATAATCAGATTGGGGTTCTGCTAATTCACTCAAGCTGTTTTCCAGAAAACTTCTCGGTTTTACTTTGTGCAGGAAAAAAAATAATGACATAAGAATTGTTTTCTTTTACTATGAAAACATTCTAACACCTTGACAAGGTTCATGGTGTTTTAACAGAAACAATGTGCTTAGGAAAGCTCAAAAAATTAAAAAAAGCCTTACAGAATGTGTCTATATATCAGGCATATAGAGAAAAGAATTGTTAATGTCTATGCTTCCTACAGACATATGAAAAAACTACTTAAGTCAACAATTATTAACAGAACAAAAAAAAACCCCACACCCCTGTCTCTGGATTTTGCTAGACAGAGCAGCAGCAAACAGTAGTGACCGATCTCCTGCAGACCTAAAAGTAACGTGAAGCCAAATGTGAACTACAGGACAATCTATTTCAGCATATGGGCCATAATAAACAATGTTACTAAAAGCATGTAACTATATGAATAAAGAAGATAATGTGCTTACACAAGAAAAAGGTGCATCTGTAATAGGAGATGAGCTTGGCAGAAGGAATTGGACAAACATACTTTCTCAAATGAGTCCAGCTCATTTTTTGGAAAACATTTTGATTTCTGGAACAGTCCACTCCAAAAACCTTCTAAACAAAAGAGCAAGAGCTCCGAAATAAGATCTGACTTTACTTTAAAAGCTCTACTGTACCTTTTAGCATGTTCGATGCACATGTTGTCTCAATGCCAGCTGTGTTAAAGTTGTCTTTTACTGCAATAGGAATTCCATCTAAAACACCCAGCGGCTGACCTGCATTAGGAATTATTGCAAACAGAGATTAAAGCATATGCTCTGTACGTACAGTCGGAAGTTTATTTTATTTTATTACAGTTTATTTTATATGCCCCTACAGGGTGTTTTTGATAGCAAGAATGCTACCCACTTCACATCTGATGGTTGTCCATTGCATTTTCAAGAACTACCTTCCACTCTAACGCTAGCGTGGAGCATTCTACCCAGACCAGTCCCCACCCCACAGAGCAGAGCTCTGCAAATGCGTCTGAGCCAGCAAGGCAGTCAGCTACTTTCATATAGGTTAGCTGTCCCAAAGATGCTCAACTCTTCAAATATAGGCATCGTTTAGGTTGGAAAAGACCAGGATGCTCAGGGCAATC